ATCATGGATATAGGGTCGACCCTATCCGAACATTGTCCATGACATACACAGGAAAGGCTTGTTCCGAAAGCATTGATTTTTACACTTTTGTAACTGTGTGGTTAAAAAAATCCAAGCGGCATCATCAGTGGCATGCCTAGCAGTCGAGGCAAGGACAGAAGGTAAAGATAATAAACTTTGGAAAACACGGATCATTTTGAGCCTGTGTCGTGCTAGTGTTAGCCTGCTAGCCCTAGCAGCGTATGCCTGTGCACCTGCCCACAGTATTACAGTATGTTCAGTCCCTTCTGGTTTTGGCCAGAGCAACGAAGTACAGAATGCCTTGCCAAAATCTGCTCCAACTGTAACTATGGGATGGCGATGCTGTTTGTTGGTTGGTTAAATGAGGGGTATTCAACTAAAACCGGGGTTCAGACAAGGGGTTCATCTGGACACATTCTTCTCACTGATAATACTGTTAAACATGTTATTCAAGTATGGCCCGCTTGAGAGCGTATTCCTTGAGAACAGCAGCCTTCTTCTATCTGAAGAGACAGAGAAAAGTCATAACTCTGAAGAATGAATAGTTCACCTACTGGCTGTGTGTTCCCGGTCAGCCTCTATTTCAGGTTTTCTCTTAAACAAATAACAATAGCAATATATTTTTTAAAGCACCTGCAGCATGAGGCTTATATATATTAGGGATGCACCGAATATTCGTCCGCCGAAAATTATCGGCCGAAAATGGTTAAAAAGGCCCTTTCGGGTTTCGGGTTCTAGCACCGAAAAAATATCACCGAATGTCAGAGAACAGGATTACGTTGGTAAACTAACGTGTTGTTGTGATGACGTAATCAAAACGCGGCGAAAAGCACGGCGCGCGACCATGCTCGCGGCTGGCTCACAGCCAACATGTCTGCCGCTTGGAGATATTTAAAAATATCAGAGAAAGAGGCGCGGATTGCGATTTGTAAAACGTGTTCAGCTGACATTTCTCGAGGGGGTGTAACTGCAAAGACTTTCACCACTTCGGGATTACTCCACCACTTGAAATCAAAACACCCGGACAAATATGCGGAGTATGATCAAATCACAAGCACTGACAGCGAGAGACTGTTCAGCGCTGCCTCTCATGTGCTTGATGAGAAGAGGAACAGACTTATGGCTGATAAAGCAGAGAAGCTACTGTTCATTAAAAAGAACCTCCCACTTTTCCTTAATAAGTAGACAAGGCTGGCTTATCATAAGCTTATCTAGTTCTACATGTCTACTCTATACCCACTTTCCTGAACAATTTTCATTGTGAGTTATAATTCACCATCTCAGGTTATCATTAGGGGGAAATGACAGCAGCACAGTGTTCAATATATTGTACTTTCGGTATCTAAATGATACAATGTTGTTTACATTGCTCATGAGGACAGACCACCTTATTTGCAGATTCTTGAAATTGTAATTTAATTTGTAATTGATTGTGGATTTTGTATCCAGTTTTCACTTTATGTATCTTTATACAATGTTTACTACTTTGCTTATGAGGACAGACAGCCTTATTTACAGATTCTTGAAATTCAATTGTAATTTCATTTGTAAATAGTTACATTCATGTGGATTTATCCAGTTTGCACATTTGTATGCATGCACTTATAGGTGCATTTGTTGTTGTTGAAGGCCTGGCTGTTACAGTCTTTATTTACACTATTTTGTTGTAGGCCTACTGGCCTAGATGTTTATGCAGTTTTAAAGCACCTTGGCTTTGTTCTGAATGCACTTTGTTGTAGTTATCCTACAGAGAAAAGAAAATGCAGTTGACTTGGAATTAATGTACTGTATGCATTCAAAAGTGCTGAATATATGTTTTATGGACCCATAATAGTGATTATTATTTAAGTTAAGTTTTGCCATAATCATGTATTTTTCCATAATCAGGTAGCTGAACAACATTGGTAAAAAATGTATACATTATATATATATATATATATTTCTATTAATCATTTTCGGCATTCGGTTTTCGGCCAACTGTTTCCTATTTTCGGTATCGGTTTCGGCCAAGAATTTCCCATTCGGTGCACCCCTAATATATATATATATATATATATATATACTGCTTAAACATATATATATAACATAATATTACATGTCACTTGTTAGACGCTTTTATCCAAAGCGACTTACATACCCAATACTGTGGGCAATCCCCACAGGAGCAATTTTGGGTGAAGTCTCTCGCCCAGGGACACAACGACATGCTGACTGCAGTGGGGTTTGAACCTGATCCGAACACCAACGCACAACCCACTGCACCACACGCCATATATTGTTGATGCTATACAGTCAGACTTCAACACATTTAGCCAGGGTAGCTGTGTGTCTTATTGTGCAGAGCGTTAGCAGCTGCTTTAGGGTTTACATTCAGAGGTGACTTGGGAGGCCCTCCTCCACTGGTTTCTCTTTGGTATGCAGTATGCACTGATGTAGGACAGTAGTTTCTAGCAATCATTTTTAGCTGTGTGTTGGGCCCACCACACTTTATCATTTGTAAGTCTTCAAGCATCATGTCAGCCACTGTCTTGACATTTTTTTACTCAAATGTTCTATCAGACCAAAAACTCTAGCCTACTTACTGGTTCGTAGAGTAAGTAAGCCTACAGTCGAAACCAAATATTTATTTTTCAACATGTTAACTGTTCACACTGTAATAAGAAATCTCTGCAAGATGCAAATAGTTTGTTTAAATATATTTTATATAGGGACCTCATACCTTAATGCTTTTATAGTATTAAAACGCAGTGGAGGTTGTACACAACTTCTGTTTTAGAAAGATGTTCTGTATAAAGCTAATATAGCGTCGTAACTAAGCAAGGTGTAAGCAGTGGTTTAAGCATATTCTGAAGTCAAAGGAGCACAATTGTAAAAATGTGATTGTGCATTCAAAATTGTACTTGAAAGAAGAGTTGTCTGTAAAATTAACTACATTACAATCAAATACTGCTAGTAATGATACATACATATGTGAGTTAAGCAGATTACCGTGGTGGAATTATACGCGTAAACGTTGTGTACAGTTTGTGAGTTTAATCTGTTAAAAATGTTTTGTGTAAAATCTGCAAAGTAACTAGCTGTCAGACGATATATTGGAAAGGAACGTATTCTCCCCGAAAATGTAGAGGAGCGGTATTACATAAGTCGGTATTACATAAGTCGGTATTACATAAGTCATAAATACAGAGAACCCCTTTATTGTTCTTAAAACCAGTAGTTGAGTAAATGTACTTCCTTAAATGATAAAACTAAATGTGGCAAATTAACCAAGAATAATAACAGTTAAATATATATAGAGAGAGCATGTATTTTAAATATCACACTTACTAATTAACTAGTTACAATTGTTGTCCTTTATTTTCTCATTGAGATAATTATTTAATTAATTTAGTTTTTATGAAGACATCTCAATGTATATTCATCAAAAAATAATTGTTGATTTATACATCCAAAATGTATTTTAGATTATTTTAGCTGGATTAAGTCTTTAATACATTTTGCATGATGTAAACATTATTATTTGTATAATTGTTGTACGTGGTGAAGGGAGTGATCTGCATGTGGGTTCAAACTGTGATACGGCACTCCACCTAAAACGTCAAGGGGAACAAATTAATCTTGTTCTTTTATCTAACAGCATATCACACACACATTACAAAATGAAAGGCTTTACACGCATTCATTTTTGCTGTTATTTAATACACATGACTTGGATGTGACCTCATAGATAACCCAGATCTGCGCCCCCCCCCCTTACTTATCTCTTTACTTCTCTATTTTCTATTTCCTTTGAGCACAGGTTCACTGCCAGGCCACTGAGCTGTCCTCTCTAATCTGAAAGCCTATATTCCAAGAAGTAGCTCAATGCTTTAAAATAACAAGGAACAAGGATGTATTGAACAGAGCAGCATCGTAAATACTATCGCCGGTAGAGGAATGGGCTACTAAGTGCAAAATACTTCACCTGCCTTTAACCTACAATACAAGTACTATGACATAAGAGAACAAATATGGAGTTTCAAAATGAAAACCTCCCAAAAAGGTATCGTGAATTACATTTTGACACTCAATTAGTAAAAAGGAGAATATTGCATGAAAAACATATATATTTAATGGTATTTACAAAGATAGTAAACAGCTACATTTACTGGCACCCTTAAATAAATGATCAATTATCAAAGACCACTACTGCTGCTGTTCATTATGGGGGGGGGGTCGGGAAGGAGAGTGTTTTAAAGTCACAACTTTGATCTCTGGTGCTTGTAACATGATTAAATAGGATTGCTGTGGTTCTGCCACTTTTTCCACTACTGTGTTTTTTAAATGTATTAAAGTACCTTTAACCAGAGAGGGCCTTTTATTATAGAGATTAAGGGGGAGACAAGGGAGGACATTGCCTGAATGTTCGGCCGAATCGGGGTTCGAACCGGCCTACTAGGCAGCATATGCCACTATTGGGTTTTTATTTATTGTTAATCCTGATAGTGACAAGAACAGGCTTAATCAACAAAGACTATGTTGTTCTCATTAAACACTAACATACGTTATGGTGAAGTGCTAAAAAGTAAGTTCAGTCAGTGTATTTTATAAATCATATTAAACATTCTTTATTCTTAAATTCACATGTATTTTCTTCTACAGTACAACAATTAATGAGTTGCATGCATTGAAAAAACTGAAAAGTTGACTTTAATTCAATGTATTAATAATAAGCAACAATAATAAGTATAAATAAAAAATACTCGGTTCAACTAAATATTATTGCTTACAACTAACCTAATACAGTTATGTGAATCTGTTGACATAATAATACATTTAATTAAAGTCAATGCTTGTTTTTTTTCAGTGTGTTGTGCAGGACAGTTCTTCTTTAAACAAATGAATAGCTATCATATTATATATATTGTTTATATTGATAGTTGAAAATAAGTAGAACATGTCAAGCCCTGCCTCACAGTATCGATTCCTCTTGTCCTCAGGGGAAGTTGGTGAAGTACTTCAGCCGCCAGCTGTCCTGTAAGTGCAAAGTGGCCTTAGAGGAGCGCAGTGTGGAGCTGGAGGACTTCCCCCGCCTCGGACACTGGTTCCGCATCGTCAACCTGAGGAAGGAGGTCACACAGGTAATACATACAGACACACACACGTCTTTTTTTTAAAAAGGAAATCTTACCTCGCATAGCGAGAATTTAATGTTTTATTGCTCAAAAAAAAATACAGTTTTGATGATGTACAGGTTAGAGTTCTGTCTAACCAAAATATCATGCAGATGACTGTGAAATCTATACAACAGAATTGATCATTTTCAACATTAAATGTGTCACCTGCTCTGTTCACCTTTCACTGACTTGCTTACTTGAATGTGCTTTGTGTGTGATTTGGTTTTAGTTTAGCGTTTGCTCTTATGTTTTATTTTGCATGTTGCCTTTTTCTTATTATAATTGATAAATTTTCTCTTTCAAGCACTGCAGAAATATTATAAGCTGCTGTTCCACTTACAGCCGCTAGATGCTGGCTGCAAGGAAGCTTTTGTCTCTTGTAATAAAAACATTTATTACCAATATGTATGCTCTCAATAGTAAACATCGCATCTTGTAAATCGCTTTAAAATGTGAGAAATGTTTGTTAAGAAAAAAGGCTTTTGAAGCTAGAATATGATTTGATTACTAGGCATTTTATTTGATTGGCAGGTCTCTCAGCACATTAGTCAGCTACAGTAGTTGCAGCTTTTTAAACTTAAACTTGTACATTTTTGTCTAATTTGTGAAAGATTAGAGAGCCACATTCATGCTTTTCAAAGTCACACAGACAACCCAGCATTGTCGCAGCGACATATTTTTTCTTTTTACTGAAGATAAAACATAATCACTAAAAAAGGGGTTCAACATTTCCCCCACATCTTCTCTTCATTGTCAATTGCGGCTGCCAAAGTGCAAACCATGGATTACCTTCATTAAGATTTAATCGTAACAATGCATGTGTCATGTACTTACACTGTGTGTGTGTGTGTGTGTGTGTGTGTGTGTGTGTGTGTGTGTGTGTGTGTGTGTGTGTGTGTGTGTGTGTGTGTGTGTGTGTGTGTGTGTTTTGCAGGAGATGAGCCCGGGCGAGGTGACCCT